CACTCAAGAAGAAGGTCTGATTTCATTATTACTGAAACAGGATACAAGTGGAAAATATAAAGATCCATTCCATTAAAAAAAGTGGAGGCCCCTTACACTTCAGTGTTGTGATGCAAAAATTCTAGCAAAATGTATAGCGCATAGAATTAAAAAGGTAATGTCGGACATTATTCATTCTAATCAGACAGGTTTTTTACATGGACGATATATTGGAGATAATATAAGGCAAGTACCGGAAACAATAGAACACTATGAAAAATCTGGGAAACCAGGCCTGCTATTCATAGCAGACTTTGAAAGGGCATTTGATAAAGTATGACTGGGGTTTAGATACAAATGCCTGGAGCATTTACATTTTGGAGAATCTCTTATAAAATGTGTTAAAATCATGTATAGTCCCCCTAGGTATAAAATAGTAAATAATGGCAATTTTTCCGAAAGTTTTAAACTGTCAAGAGGAGTGAAACAAGGTTGTCCACTATCGGCATATGTATTTATTATGGCCATCGAAATGTTAGCTATTAAAATCAGATCCAACAATAATATCAAGGGATCAGAAATCCAGGGCTTAAAAACAAAGGTGTCATTGTACGCTGATGATTCATGTTTTCCTTTAAATCCACAACTTGAATCCCTTCACAGCCTCATAGAGGATCTAGATACATTTTCTAACCTCTCTGGATTACAACCAAATTATGAGAAATATTACGTACTGGATCACTAAAAAATACATTTTTTACATTACCATGTAGTTTACCAATAAAATGGTCTGATGGTGATGTGGATATACTCGGAATACATAACCCAAATGAAATAAATGATCTCACTCCAATAAATGGTAATAGAAAGTTAGCAAAAATAGATAAGATCTTGCTACTATGGAAAGGTAAATACCTGTCAATTTGTGGAAAAATCACCCTGATTAACTCTTTAGTATTATCCCAGATTACCTATTTGCTTATGGTCTTGCCTACGCCTAGTGAACAGTTTTTTGAATTATATGAGAAAAGTATATTCCATTTTATTTGGAACGGCAAGCCAGACAAAATTAAACGGGCCTATTTATATAATGAATATGAATTCGGAGGTCATAAATTATTAAATATTCAAGCATTAGACCTATCACTAAAAGCTTCAGTCATACAAAAGTTATACTTAAATCTGGTTCTCTAGCAAATTAGTAAGATTGTCTCACCCAATGTTCAAGAATGGCCTTTTTCCCTTTATTCAGATTACAACCTTTCACTTTCAGTTATTTGAAAAGGAAATCATCTCCCAAATATCACTATTTCTAAAACAAGACATAGAAAGTTGGTTGCAATTTCAATGTAATCCTCCAGAAACGACAGAACAAATAATGCAACAAATATTGTGGTTAAACTCAAATATACTAATTGATAAAAAACATTATACCTTTTGAAAACATTTTTTTAAAGAATCATTTTCGTAAATGATATCATAGGTAGGACTGTTGGAGTTATGCAGCTAACAAAATTACAACCAAATAATTACCGCAAAAATGAAGAGGAAAGTGGAAGGGGTAAAAAGTAAGGAATTTGTCTGTCGGCCCTGCATTAAAGAACATAATTGGTTAAAGAAAACTGTGATAAATAAAAAAGTTTACCAGTTTCATTTAAGGACCAAAGGATTGTCAGCCGTCCCATATACAGTGGGGAGAACAAGTATTTGATACACTGCCGATTTTGCAGGTTTTCCTACTTACAAAGCATGTAGAGGTCTGTAATTTTTATCATAGGTACACTTCAACTGTGAGAGACAGAATCTAAAACAAAAATCCAGAAAATCACATTGTATGAATTTTAAGTAATTAATTTGCATTTTATTGCATGACATAAGTATTTGATCACCTACCAACCAGTAAGAATTCCGGCTCTCACAGACCTGTTCGTTTTTCTTTAAGAAGCCCTCCTGTTCTCCACTCATTACCTGTATTAACTGCACCTGTTTGAACTCGTTACCTGTATAAAAGACACCTGTCCACACACTCAATCAAACAGACTCCAACCTCTCCACAATGGCCAAGACCAGAGAGCTGTGTAAGGACATCAGGGATAAAATTGTAGACCTGCACAAGGCTGGGATGGGCTACAGGACAATAGGCAAGCAGCTTGGTGAGAAGGCAACAACTGTTGGCGCAATTATTAGAAAATGGAAGAAGTTCAAGATGACGGTCAATCACCCTCGGTCTGGGGCTCCATGCAAGATCTCACCTCGTGGGGCATCAATGATCATGAGGAAGGTGAGGGATCAGCCCAGAACTACACGGCAGGACCTGGTCAATGACCTGAAGAGAGCTGGGACCACAGTCTCAAAGAAAACCATTAGTAACACACTACGCCGTCATGGATTAAAATCCTGCAGCGCACGCAAGGTCCCCCTGCTCAAGCCAGCGCATGTCCAGGCCCGTCTGAAGTTTGCCAATGACCATCTGGATGATCCAGAGGAGGAATGGGAGAAGGTCATGTGGTCTGATGAGACAAAAATAGAGCTTTTTGGTCTAAACTCCACTCGCCGTGTTTGGAGGAAGAAGAAGGATGAGTACAACTCCAAGAACACCATCCCAACCGTGAAGCATGGAGGTGGAAACATCATTCTTTGGGGATGCTTTTCTGCAAAGGGGACAGGACGACTGCACCGTATTGAGGGGAGGATGGATGGGGCCATGTATCGCGAGATCTTGGCCAACAACTTCCTTCCCTCAGTAAGAGCATTGAAGATGGGTCGTGGCTGGGTCTTCCAGCATAACAATGACCCGAAACACACAGCCAGGGCAAATAAGGAGTGGCTCCGTAAGAAGCATCTCAAGGTCCTGGAGTGGCCTAGCCAGTCTCCAGACCTGAACCCAATAGAACATGTGTCTCCTGAGTGGCGCAGTGGTCTAAGGCACTGCATCGCAATGCTAACTGTGCCACTAGAGATCCTGGTTCGAATCCAGGCTCTGTCGCAGCCGGCCGCGACTGGGAGACTCATGGGCGGCGCACAATTGGCCCAGCGTCGTCCAGGGTAGGGGAGGGAATGGCCGGCAGGGATGTAGCTCAGTTGATAGAGCATGGTTGTGGGTTCAATTCCCACGGGGGGCCAGTATAAAAAATATATATATATGTATTCACTAACTGTAAGTCGCTCTGGATAAGAGCGTCTGCTAAATGACGTAAATGTAAATGTAACATCTTTGGAGGGAGCGGAAAGTGCGTCTTTCCCAGCGACAGCCCCAAAACCTGAAGGATCTGGAGAAGGTCTGTATGGAGGAGTGGGCCAAAATCCCTGCTGCAGTGTGTGCAAACCTGGTCAAGACCTACAGGAAACGTATGATCTCTGTAATTGCAAACAAAGGTTTCTGTACCAAATATTAAGTTCTGCTTTTCTGATGTATCAAATACTTATGTCATGCAATAAAATGCAAATTAATTACTTAAAAATCATACAATGTGATTGTCTGGATTTTTGTTTTAGATTCCGTCTCTCACAGTTGAAGTGTACCTATGATTTAAAAAAATTACATACCTCTACATGTCGGCAGTGTATCAAATACTTGTTCTCCCCACTGTATATATATTTGCGAGAAAAAATACATGGGGGATTGGAAGTAATGCAGACAATTACATTAAAGGAAGTTACAATCTATCTGCAATATTAAAGCTGATCTACCCCCTAAAAAATCTAAAAAAAAAAATATATATATATATATATATATATATATATATATTTTTTTTTATAATGAAATATCTTGAGTCAATAAGTATTCAACCCCTTTGTTATGGCAAGCCTAAATAAGTTCAGGAGTAAAATATTGCTTAATAAGTCACATAAGAAGTTACATGGACTCTGTGTGCAATAATAGTGTTTCACATTATTTTTTAATTACTACCTCATCTCTGTACCCCACACATACAATTATCTGAAGGTCCCTCAGTTGAGCAGTGAATTTCAAACACAGATTCAACTACAAAGACCAGGGACGTTTTCCAACGCCTCGCAAAGAAGGTCACCTATAGGTAGATGGGTAAAAAAAAAAAAAAACAGACATTGAATATCTCTTTGATCATGGTGAAGTTATTAATTACACTTTGGATGGTGTATCAATACACCCAGTCACTACAAAGATACAGGAGTCCTTCCTAACTCAGTTGCCGGAGAGGAAGGAAACCGCTCAGGGATTTCACCATGAGGCCAATGGTGACTTTAAAACAGTTACAGAGTTTAATGGCTGTGATAGGAGAAAACAGAGGTGGATCAACAACATTGTAGTTACTTCACAATACTAACCTAATTGACAGAGTGAAAAGAAGGACACGCATCCTGTTTACAATAAGGTACTAATGTAATAATGCTAAAAATGTGGCAAAGCAATTCACTTTTTGTCCTGAATACAAAGTGTTGTATTGGGCCAAATCCAATACAACACATTACTGCGTAACACTCTCCATATTTTCAAGCATAGTGGTGGCTGCATCATGTTATGGGTATGCTTGTCATTGTTAAGGACTGGGGAGTTTTTCAGGATAAAAAAGAAACGGAATGGATCTAAGCACAAGCAAAATCCTAGAGGAAAACCCTCTGAAACCAGTCTGTTTTCACTAGGAGATTAATCCACCTTTTAGCAGGACAATAACCTAAAACCCAAGGCCAAATCTGCGCTGGAGTTGCTTACCAAGAATACAATGAATGTTCCTGAGTGGTCGATTTACAGTTATGACTTAAATCTGCTTGAAAATCTATGGCAAGAGTTGAAAATGGTTGTGTAGCAATTATCAACAACCAATTTGGTAGAGATTAAAGAATTTTGAAAAGGATAAATGGTCAAATATTGTACAATCCAGAAAATACTGGCTTGCTGTAAAGTATCCCAACAGTTCTCTTCTATCCTCCGGCAGCAACACTTCCAGTTCTGATTTCACTGTGGCTCCTCTCCCCTAACCAACCAAACCACCACTGGGACCACCATGGTCCTCTCGGATCTCCCCTGGCTGAAATAGTGCTCACGTTTCCAGGCTACGGCTTTCCTCAGGTCTGGGCTGTTGTGAGGCCAGCTGGAGGTAGGTGTGACCAGACCCAGAACACTCCTGCAGGTGAATTGGCACCTCCTCTGGTCCTCCTGTTCCTTTCCTGTCAGTGTCTCTCTTTTTACCCCTCCGGCCCTGGTGGCACACCCCATTGCTACCCTTCGACCTGACTGCTTGCCCTCTGAAGAGCTGCGCCCGATGCTGGCACAGCCCCATCTTACTGAGCAGGATAAAGACGTCCCCCCTGAAAGCCTTGGTAAAGATGGCGTACAGGAAGGGGTTGGCACAGGAGTTGAGAGGGTAGAAGAGCACCAGTAGGATCTTAGAGTTGGACACGGTGATAAGCGGCCGGTCCACAACGGCCGACATGGCGTAAAACGAGATGGGCGCCATACACAGGAAGTCAGTGAAGATGAGGACGGCCATGCGTTTGGCGATGTTGGTGTCTTTAGACCCGGAGCGGTAGTAAGGGTTGTGCACAGCACCGTAGATCTTGATGTAACAGGCACAGATCACCAGGAATGCCAGGATGTTTAGGATCAGGACTGAGACGATGTAGACCTGGGCCACGGTGGACTGGGTGTCCATGGGCAGGCAGATACTGACCTGATAGATAAAGATAAAATAAATCATCAATCAATACATCAATCAATCAATACATACATAAAGAAAGAAAATAAAGAACAAAATCAATGGATCCTTGAATCAACCAATCAATTAATCAATACTGACCTTCTGGTAGCTGCTAACCCCCACTAGGGGGAGCACCGCTAGGAGGAGGCAGAACAACCATCCAGCCAGCATCACAGCAGTAGCGTGGGGCAGACGCAACTTCCTGTCCAGCCTCATGGCGAACGTTATCGCGTACCACCTCTCTAGCGTAATCACCGTCAGCGTATACACCGACAGCTCGCTGGCGAACACCGTGAAGAACCCCGCCAACCTGCAGCCCGGTCCCGTCTGCCAGTCGATGGCATGGTTGTAGTACTCTGCCCGGGTGTGAAGGTCCACAGAGGCGATGAGGAGGAGATATATCCCCATGCAGAGGTCAGCGAAGGCCAGGTGACACATGAGGAAGCGTGAGACGGAGAGCTTGTAGTGGGAGGTGAGGAGGACCAGTAGCACCACCATGTTACCTACTACAGCCAGCAGAGACACAAACCACACAGACACACGCAGGAAGCTGAAGCCCATGATGTCCTCGCACGGGTTGAACTCGTCAGGTGCAGGGGCGCAGGTCACCTCCTCGCCCTCCTCACAGACCACGTAGTCGTAGCGACTGTCAAAGTCCTGGCTGGTGCCCTCCTGCGGGTTCTGTGAGATGAGATAAGACAAGACATACTGTATTGTCAATTGCCTTGCTCAAGTGCACAATGGCAGGACATGGTATCAAGGATACTTAAAAAAGATATAGATTTAATTTTTCATTCCTTTCCACTCCACATACAAAGTTATACATATGAACAACAACTTACAGATACACACAATAACTACATCTCATCTTCCCAGACCCGCATGCTCACACCCCTGTCCCTAGTACCTCCATGCTCACACCCCTGTCCCTAGTACCTCCATGCTCACACCCCCGTCCCTAGTACCTCCATGCTCACACCCCCGTCCCTAGTACCTCCATGCTCACACCCCCGTCCCTAGTACCTCCATGCTCACACCCCCGTCCCTAGTACCTCCATGCTCACACCCCCGTCCCCAGTACCTCCATGCTCACACCCCCGTCCCTAGTACCTCCATGCTCACACCCCCGTCCCTAGTGCCTCCATGCTCACACCCCTGTCCCTAGTACCTCCATGCTCACACCCCCGTCCCTAGTACCTCCATGCTCACACCCCCATCCCTAGTACCTCCATGCTCACACCCCCGTCCCTAGTACCTCCATGCTCACACCCCCGTCCCTAGTACCTCCATGCTCACACCCCCGTCCCTAGTACCTCCATGCTCACACCCCCGTCCCTAGTACCTCCATGCTCACACCCCCGTCCCTAGTACCTCCATGCTCACACCCCCGTCCCTAGTACCTCCATGCTCACACCCCCGTCCCTAGTGCCTCCATGCTCACACCCCCGTCCCTAGTACCTCCATGATCACACCCCCGTCCCTAGTGCCTGCATTGTTGTTTGCCACTTAAATTGTATCAATTTGTTTTTCATTGTGTTAATGGATGGCAGATTGATTGCTTTCCAAGTTTTTAGTATACGTATTTTCAAGGTGAGTGATAAAAAGAGGATCATCCAGCCCATTGGGTATCTCACTACACTCCCATATGCTATGTCTCGAAATATGCAGACAGACGGATTAAAAGTACGTTTACATTGTAATACTTCTGACAGCCAACTTCCTAGCTCCGCCCATAACTTCCAGACCTTATAGCATTCCCAGAAAGCATGGATCATTGAGTCATTACTAGTTTTACATTTAAGACATTTCTGAATTTTGTCTCTTGTATAATACATTCATTTATACTAGGTTAAGAGTACATTTTCATTCTGTAATATCATTAGATATGCTCCAACTTTCTGTCCGTCTTGTGCCAACATAAGTTATTTTTAAGTCTTGGTTCCAATAGTTTATATTTTTTTCTAAGAGATTGTCAGTTGGATATGCTCTCTGCAAGGTTTTGTATATCTTCCCTATCATATGAATATCCTTCTCTGACTCAAATAAGATTCCCTCAAGGTTGCTCTGATTTCAGATCAACATTTTGTGATATGTAACTTTTAATTATTAAAGATACCAATGATATCAATACTAGCAACCCTCTGGTTTCTGGCCCACTCCCCAACAGATTTTCCCCAGTCAGTGCTGGGATTCAAACCGGTGACCCTCTCTTACCTTCAGCGTCTCCCCGAAGCCCACGTCATCGTCCGGCTGCCCCCCAAAGTAAGCATGGTACTGGAGGCTGCTGTGGAAGTCTCTCCGGGGGTCTCCCTGGGTATCTTTCAACACACCATCTTTGAAGCCCCCCTCGCTGGGCTCCTGGTCGGCTGTGTCTGCAGTGGGGTCTCCCTGGGTATCTTTCAACACACCATCTCTGAAGCCTCCCTCTCTGGGCTCCTGGTCGGCTGTGTCTGCAGTGGGGTCTCCCTGGGTATCTTTCAACACACCATCTCTGAAGCCCCCCTCGCTGGGCTCCTGGTCGGCTGTGTCTGCAGTGGGGTCTCCCTGGAGGGATGGGACTGTGAGAAGACCCATGGACCTCTTCTGGTGCTGGTCGTAGAACGCTGTCAGGTTGCAGATGATGTACTCCAGGTATCTGCAATATCAAAAGAGACACAAACTGTCTAAGGGAGTTTCTCTTTCTACTTCTGATTGTGCTTTCAGGTCTAGGCCGGGTTACTGAAAAGCCTTTTGTGACTTGTGACACGTGTGACTTTGACGAAGGGCTTTATTAATACAGTTTGATTGAGATCAAATTTGATTGATAGATGAATGTGTTTTTGTGAGCAATAATTATTTTAAGTGAAAGAATCAGTATGAAAAAAATAAAATAATGTATGCAGTCACTAACTGTAAGTCACTCTGGATAAGAGCGTCTGCTAAATGACTAAAATGTAAAATGAGTATGTGACGGACATTGTAAGGTGCTACATGAAATGGTGAATGCAAACCAATACATCCAAAATAATTCAGCTTGAAGCCTTGACTTCAAAATACCTCTTCATACACTCCTGGGTCCCACTATCATATTATTATGTATTATTATTATTATTATTATTATTATTATTAATATTATTATTTACATACCCAGTTAAAGAAGAAAATCTGATTCAGATGTTGGTCTTCCTACAATAACAGTGTTGACTGACAGTAATTAAAGCTGCATAATATAAAAATTATAGGTAAATGCGTCAGAGTTGATTTCACGCCAACATCCACACTGAAGAAGTACAGCTGTGCTATTCAACAACCATTAATCATACTGTAACTGTACGCAATACAGAGCAATACACACTACCACAGTACAGTACAGTACAATACCAGGGTTGGTAGGCCTACTTCACTCAATCATTTGCTTTTCATTTCCCAAACCATCAAAGTCCAGTTTACCTGGTATTGGGTCTACAGTTTAAAGGAGCCAAGTGTTATTTATTTACAAACTCCTAGACAGACTAACAAATTACCATGTGTCAAGCACACAAACAGCAACTCAACAACAACATCAACAAACACAAGTTGCAAGCCTTTCTAGCCTGATCCCAGACCTGTTTGTGCTGTACGGTCAACTCTTACGGTCGTTGCTATGTTTGGATTGACAATGACCATAGGAGTTGGCAAGAAAGCACAAACAGGTCTGGGACCAGGCTAAGGCCTTTCACATCTCCCATATGATTTAACTCACATAGAATTAGAATACTAGAATGGACATGAGCCTTTTTATGACGGTATAACGGTTAGCCAATTTGGTAAGGGAGTTTGTCAGCCAGTGCTGTGATAAGATTTTGTATAAAACAATGAATTTGAAGATGATCTGCACAGTATTTGTATTAGCTAGCTAGACAGTTTTAGTGCAATGATTCCGTACATTTTCAAATTTACTGCCAATATGCCAACATTCCATACAAACAATGCAGTCGATCCACAGTCATACACTGGCTGAAACCAGTTGATGATAGGACAAGTTGTAAATGCAACAAGTACTGATCTTGTATCATATATTATACAATGGGTGGGTCTAATCCTGAATGCTGATTGGTTAAAACCGCATTCCAGCCGGTGTCTATTCCATAGGTTACCACCGGCTAAATCTATGATGTTAAAATGTCTATTTACTTGACTTCGTCTAACAGCACCCGTGCCAATATATCCTCCAAACACCGGCTTTCTGGCATTATTACTTAAATAGCACTTTCCAAGAAACTAAAATGTAGACATTTCTGGTCTGTTTACATAATATATATATATAAACTATGTAGTTTATAAAGGTTTTATACAAATGTTCTGTATGAATAGCCTCTAAAATATATTATATGGATTATAAATATAATATATTTTGGACTAAAATATAATATATTTATAATTCATATAATATATTTTAGAGACTATTTATACAGAAAATTGTTATAGTTTATACAGGTTTTATACACATTTTCTGCATAAATAGCCTCAAAAATTTAATTTAATAGTAATTTAATTTAATCTCTATGCTAACTCACCCTCGTTTCTTCTTGAGGTTCTTGAAGCCGCAGCAGTGAGAGGGGTAAGTGAGGTCAGCGGTGGTCAAGTGTTTGAAGGTTTTGATTGGCGGCAGCTTCTTTAGGTTCCAGGCGCTGCGGGCCATTAGCTCCCTGAGAGACTCCAGCCCTGCCGTGGGGAGGGACGACACCGCCGTTAGGGATACGTCACTGTCAGGGAAGACAGAGTGGACAGCTGGAGGTTACTGAGGGTTCATAAAGGGGTCCTGACATTCAGGGTTCATAGAGAGTTAATAACAGGTCATAACAGTTCATAATAGTTCATACAGAGACATGCCACTGTTAGGGAACACAAAGGACAAGTAGAGCTCATAGAGGGTTCATACGGAGTTAATATAGAGTTCATTAACAGTAAATAACAGTTCACACCACTGCCAGGAAATGGAGACGACAGCTGGAGGTGACACAGGGTCATAGAGAGTTCATACAGCTGGGGTCACACATATTAGGTCCCCTATAACATGGGAGAATGTGTGTGTGTGTCACATGTGTGTGTGTGCCACGTGTGTGTCTGTGTGTGTGTCAGTTTGTGTGTGTCAGTTTGTGTGCGTCGATGTGTGGTGTGTGTGTGTGGAAGTGATGGAATGGTATTCGGAATCATAGGCCAAGGTGGTTCATAGACTTCACTAAAGCAGGTAAAGCCTAGTCATGGTTCATAGACTTCACTAAAGCAGGTAAAGCCTAGTCATGGTTCATAGACTTCACTAAAGCAGGTAAAGCCTAGTCATGGTTTATGTTTGCACTGTTTATGACAGCAACACCTCCTCACCTTCTACTTGTTTTCATATGCATGACTACTCGTTTTGTGCATTCTCCAAATCGGAGATAAATATTTTTGCCAAATGCCTATTTATTCGCCAATTGTTAGAAAAATACCAAGCCTACATCTGGTTCCCTCAACAGAGTGTCCACCACTTTTCCATTGTCTTTAACTAATTAAACATGCTGTTTTTCCATTGTCCACCGTTGCCATGACAAAGACAGAACCTCACTGGGATATTCACAACTCAGTGCAACTGCAAGCATCTGTTCTGGTTGTGTTACCACTACATTCTGTACTGTAGTACTATATACACATTAACAAGATGTTTCTTCTTCGAGCATACTAGTTAAATGATTTTAATAAGATTAAAATAAATTCTCTTTCTCGGGAACATTTAGCTACACTGGAGATGTTTAAGCCATGACCTCATGCGGTTGGCCCCACCACTCAGCCAGGACTAGGACATGCGCCCTGCTCCAATACACATCCTTCCTTCCTTTCTTAAGGTAAGCATAGAGATAAGTGATTGGATGGGTATAAGTGAGGTTACCACCATATTACTTAAAGGAAGGAAGGAAGGATTTCTGAAGTATTTTAAATAAGACCTTAGTCCTGAGAGGGCTGGGGAAGTTTTAGGAGTACCACTTCAGTTAACAGACATAACGTTTCTGCATCAGTTTTAGGAGTACCACTTCAGTTAACAGAGGTAAGTTTTCTGCATCAAACTCCCCAGAAAGGAAATGGGATATTCCTTCCACTATGACTCTAAAAACAAAGAGAAAGAAAAAGTAGGACGTTTCTCTAACACTCACACACAATCCGTGTCTGATTTCCAAGTCAAATGCCAAGCTGTCGTTAAAGGTCCAATGCAGCTGTCACAACTCCCTCCGAAGCTGCCACCTCTCCTTGTTCCGGCAGGCTTCGGCGTTCGTCGTCACCGGCCTTCTAGCCACTGCCGCACCTCATTTCATCATTCCATTGGTTTTGTCTTGTTCATTACACACACCTGGTTCATATCCCCTCATCAGTACCTGTATAAGCGTTCCCTCTGCCCCCTTGTCTTTGTGTGTGATTGTTTATTGTGAGGATAGTAAGCTCAGTGGAGCTCCTTGTATTTTGTATCGCCGGGTTATTTTCCCGTGTGCTTTGTTTGTTCCAGTGCGCACTGGAGTCTTTTGACGCTTTACTGCGTAACTCTGTTTTCCGGAATAAATACTGTTATTCTGTGATTTACCCTCCTGCGCCTGACTCCTTCTACTCACCCATCACAGCAGCCGGCTTTATCTCAATATCAAATAATTTCAATGTGAAAATTAAGTAGCTTACTGTGATTGTTTTCAAAAAAATTGTCAAAAAGAAACAAAAATAGCTTCTTAGCAAAGATAAATTCTCAAGCAATAATTCTCAAGCAATAATAAAAGACTGTCTGGGAGTGTATGGATGGCCATTTGGTTCTTTGCGTGTCAAAAAAGAGAACACTATTTGACACATCAAATAACACAATTTGACTTGTCAAATAAGCTTTTAATTTGACACATCAAATAACAAAATTATATTTTTGAATGTTGTGTGCGCTGAATTTGTTTTCTGAAGCCAAGCGCCACCACTAGGGTCAGTAGAAGATTGTACCCCCCATATAAATAGCATTCTATTGGTAGCAAGAATTCTGTATAAGAATTTAAATTGAAAAACTATAATTTTTGAATCCGGCGTTGTTTTGCGTATCAGTTCATAAACACTCTGCCATGGAATCGGTACGTCAAAAATCTCTTCCCAACTATTTTGCAATCTATATGGGACGGCTGTCAATCCTTTGGTCCTTAAATGAAACTGGTATACTTTTTTATTTATCACAATTTTCTTTAACCAAATATGTTCTTTAATGCAGGGCCGACAGACAAGCTCCTTACTTTTTCCCCCTTCAAATAAAATCAAATATAATGTTATTTGCCACATGCGCCGAATACAACAGGTGTAGACATTACCGTGAAATGCTTACTTACAGCCCTTAACCAACAATGCATTTATTTCTTAATAAAAACAACAACAACAAAAAAGTGTTCAGAAAAAAAGAGCAGAAGTAAAATAAAATAACAGTAGGGAGGCTATATACAGGGGGGTCCGGTGCAGAGTCAATGTGCGGGGGCACCGGCTAGTTGAGGTAGTTGAGATAATATGTACATGTGGGTAGAGCTAAAGTGACTATGCATAAATAATTAACAGAGTAGCAGCAGCGTAAAAAGATGGGGTGGGGGTAGGGTGGCAGTGCAAATAGTCCGGGTAGCCATGATTAGCTGGTCAGGAGTCTTATGGCTTGGGGGTAGGAGCTGTTGAGAAGCCTTTTGGACCTAGACGCTTGCCGTGCGGTAGCAGAGAGAACAGTCTATGACTAGGGTGGCTGGAATCTTTGACAATTTTGTGGGCCTTCCTCTGACACTGCCTGGTATAGAGGTCCTGGATGGCAGGACGCTTGGCCCCAGTGATGTACTGGGCCGTACGCACTACCCTCTGTAGTGCCTTGCGGTCGGAGGCCGAGCAGTTGCCATACAAGGCAGTGATGCAACCAGTCAGGATGCTCTCAATGGTGCAGCTGTAGAACTTTTTGAGGATCTGAGGACCCATGCCAAATCTTTTCAGTTTCCTGAGGGGGAATAGGCTTTGTCGTGCCCTCTTCACGACTGTCTTGGTGTGTTTGGACCATGAAAGTTCGTTGGTGATGTGGACACCAAGGAACTTGAATCTCTCAACCTGTTCCACTACAGCCCCGTCGATGAGAAGGGGGGCGTGCTCAGTCCTCTTTTTTTTCCTGTAGTCCACAATCATCTCCTTTGTCTTGGTCACGTTGAGGGAGAGGTTGTTATCCTGGCACCACATGGCCAGGTCTCTGACCTCCTCCCTATAGGCTGTCTCATCGTTGTCGGTGATCAGGCCTACCACTGTTGTGTCATCGGCAAACTTAATGATGGTGTTGGAGTTGTGCCTGGCCATGCAGTCATGGGTGAACAGGGAGTACAGGAGGGGACTGAGCACGCACCCCTGAGGGGCCCCCGTGTTGAGGAGCAGCGTGGCAGATGTGTTGTTACCAACCCTTACCACATGGGGGCGGCCCGTCAGGAAGTCCAGGATCCAGTTGCAGAGGGAAGTGTTTAGTCCCAGGATCCTTAGCTTAGTGATAAGCTTTGAGGGCACTATGGTGTTGAACGCTGAGCTGTAGTCAATTAATAGCATTCTCACTTAGGTGTTCCTCTTGCCCAGGTGGGGAAGGGCAGTGTGGAGTGCAATAGAGATTGCATCATCTGTGGATCTGTTGGGGCGGTATGCAAATTGGAGTGGGTCTAGGGTTTCTGGGATAATGGTGTTGATGTGAGCCATGACCAGCCTTTCAAAGCACTTCATGGCTACAGACGTCAGTGCTACAGGTCTGTAGTCATTTAGGCAGGTTATCTTAGTGTCCTTGGGCACGGGGACTATGGTGGTCTGCTTGAAACATGTTGGTATTACAGACTCAGTCAGGGACATGTTGAAATTGTCGGTGAAGACACTTGCCAGTTGGTCAGCACATGCTCGGAGTACACATCCTGATAATCCGTCTGACCCTGCGGCCTTGTGAATGTTGACCTGCTTAAAAGTCTTACTCACATCGGCTACGGAGAGTGGGATCACATAGTCATCTGGAACAGCTGGTGCTCTCATGCATGCTTCAGTGTTGCTTGCCTCGAAGCGAGCATAGAAGTGGTTTAGCTCGTCTGGTAGGCTTGTGTCACTGGGCAGCTCGCGGCTGTGCTTCCCTTTGTAGTCTGTAATAGTTTTCAAGCCCTGCTACATCCGACGAGCGTCAGAGCCGGTGTAGTACGATTCAATCTTAGTCCTGTATTGACTCTTTGCCTGTTTGATGGTTTGTCGGAGGGCATAGCGGGATTTCTTATAAGCGTCCGGGTTAGAGTCCCGCTCCTTGAAAGCGGCAACTCTACCCCTTAGCTCAGTGCGGATGTTGCCTGTAATCCATGGCTTCTGGTTGGGGTATGTACGTACGGTCACTGTGGGGACGACGTCATCGATGCACTTATTGATGAAGCCAGTGACTGATGTGGTGTACTCCTCAATGCTCTCCGAAGAATCCCGGAACATGTTCCAGTCTGTGCTAGCAAAACAGTCCTGTAGCTTAGCATCTGCGTCATCTGACCACTTTTTTATTAACTGAGTCACTGGTGCTTCCTGCTTTAGTTTTTGCTTATAAGCAGGAATCAGGAGGATAGAGTTATTGTCAGATTTGCCAAATGGAGGGCGAGGGAGAGCTTTGTATGCGTCTCTGTGTGTGGAGTAAAGGTGGTCTAGAGTTTTTTTTCCCCCTCTGGTTGCACATTTAACATGCTGGTAGAAATGAGGTAGAATGGATTTAAGTTTCCCTGCATTAAAGTCCCCGGCCACTAGGAGCGCTGCCTCTGGATGAGCGTTTTCCTGTTTAGTTATGGCCTTATACAGCTCATTGAGTGCAATCTTAATGCCAGCATTGGTTTGTGGTGGTAAATAGACAGCTATGAAAAATATAGATGAAAACTCTCTTGGTAAATAGTGTGGTCTACATCTTATCATAAGATACTCTACCTCAGGCGAGCAAAACCTCAAGACTTCCTTAGTATTTGATTTTATGCACCAGCTGTTGTTTACAAATATACACAGACCGCCAACCCTTGTCTTACCAGAGTCAGCCGTTCTATCCTGCCGATGTAGCGTGTAGCCCGCTAGCTGTATGTTGTCCATGTCGTCGTTCAGCCACGACTCGGTGAAACATAAGATATTACAGTTTTTAATGTCCCGTTGGTAGGATAAGCGTAATCTTAGGTCATCTAATTTATTTTCCAATGATTGAAGATTGGCTTATAGGATTGATGGAAGAGGCAGTTTACTCGCTCGCCGTCAGATCCTTACGAGGCACCCCGACCTACGTCCACGATATCTCTGTCTCTTTCTCCTGCGAATGACGGGTATTTGGGCCTTGTCAGGTCTCTGTAGGATATCCTTTGCGTCCGACTCGTTGAAGAAACAATCTTCGTCCAATACGAGGTGAGTGATCGCTGTGTCACATTCTTTCAAGGACGGGTCAGACCAAGGCGCAGCGTGATATGCGTACATGTTTATTTAACTTATAAACACACGACAAAACATCAAACGAAGTCCAAAGGTTGAACACACAACAAACCTTACACGGAACAAGATCCCACAACTACCTAGTGCCAATAGGCTGCCTAAGTATGATCCCCAATCAGAGGCAACGAGCGATAGCTGCCTCTGATTAGGAACCACACCAGCCAACATAGAAATACACATACTAGATACACCACATATAATATATACACAACCAAGAATATACACACCCTGACTCAACATATACGAGTCCCCTGAGTCAGGGTGTGACAGTACCCCCCCCCCCCCCCCCCCCCCCCCCAAAGGTGCGGACTCCGACCGCACAACCTTCACCTAACAGGGTAGGGGCCGGGTGGGCATTCCGCCTCGGAGGCGGATCCGGCTCCGGGCGTGACGACCTCTTACTCTCCGCCTCCCTGTTGCGCCCCTGGTCTGGTCTGGACCTCGGCGCGCTGCTTCCCCTCTCCTTCCTCCCACGATACTCCAGGCCCTGTCTGGACCCTGGTGTGGGAGACCCCGAACCTGGAGAGGGGCTGACGTCTGGGTCTGGACTGGAGCCGCTGACTGGAACTAGACCAGACGACGGTGGAGTGGGCTGCTCAGACTCCGGACTGGAGCCGCTGACCGGAGCTGGACTGGGCACCGGTGGAGCGAACTGCTCTGGCTCCGGAGTAGAGCCGCTGACCGGAGCTGGATCAGGCACCGGTGGAGCGGACTGCTCTGGCTCCGGACTGGAGCTGCTGACTGGTGCCGGACCAGGCACCGGTGGAACGGGCACGGGCCGTGCCGGACTGGACACACTCACCACTGGTCTGGTGCGAGGAGCAGGCACGGGCCGAACCGGACTAGGAACATGCACCACTGGCTTGGTGCGAGGAGCAGGAACAGGCCGGGCTGGGAACACGCACCACTGGTTTGGAGCGAGGAGCAGGAACAGGCCGGGCTGGGCTGGCGACGCACACCACTGGCTTGGTGCGAGGAGCAGGAACGGGCCGAACCGGACTAGGAACATGCACCACTGGCTTGGTGCGAGGAGCAGGAACAGGCCGGACCGGGCTGGCGACGCGCACCACTGTCTTGGTGCGAGGGGCAGGAACAGGCCGGACCGGGCTGCCGACTCGCACCACTGGCTTGGTGCGAGGAGCAGGAACGGGTCGAGCCGTACTGGGAACACGCACCACTGGCTTAGTGCAGGGAGCAGGAACGGGCCGGACCGGACTGGCGACACGCACCACTTGCTTGGTGCGAGGAGCGGGACTGGGTTCCTTTATTAACCCCCGCTCCTTCTGCTGCCTAACCAGCTCCTCTCGCCGTGCCTCTACACTTTCCTTCTCCCTTTTAGCCTCCTGTAGCGCCTCCCTCTGACCGAACAACTCCTGCTCCCTCTGAACCAATAGCCCCCGTAACATGGTGGCCTCCTCTCCTAACCTGCAGATTCGCCCTTCCACGGCCTCCTGCTGCCTCGTCATCCACCCCGTGTGCCCCCCAATTTTTTTTTCTTGGGGTTGCCTCTCGGGTCTCTGTCGTCGGCACTCCTCTTCCCGTGAGGACTCCTCCGGGAGCCCCCACGAGTTAGGGAACAGAAACTTGTCGTCGTCGTCATCCTCCGACTCCTCAGTATAATACTGTTCCCACTCCTCTTCCCATGGTCGTAGGGACCCAATCTGAAAACCAACCGGGTGCAGTGGTCGGGGCTCTTCTCTCTCGCTCCCCGACCACCCCTTCAGCCCCCCAAATTTTTTTTATTGGGGCTGCTTCTCGGGCCTCCTCCTCGGCCGGCTTCCGTGTTGCCGTTGCTCCTCTCCTGCCTGGGCTTCCTTCTTCGCCCAGGGTCATTTTCCCAAAAATATCTCCTCCCATGACCACCAATTGCCCACCTGTGACATGGCTACTCTCTCCGCCTGGGCACGCTGCTTGGTCCTCGTTTGGTGGGATCTTCTGTCACGTTCGTTCATAGACGGGTCAGACCAAGGCGCAGCGTGATATGCTTACATGTTTATTTTAACTTAATAAACAACACGACAAAACAACAAATCTAAACGAAACGTGAAGTCCAAGGTAGAACACAAAACATACCTTACACGGAACAAGATCCCACAACCCACTGGTGCCAATAGGCTGCCTAAGTATGATCCCCAATCAGAGACAACGAGCGACAGCTGCCTCTGATTGGGAACCACACCGGCCAACATAGAAATACACATACTAGATACACCACATAGAATATACACAACCAAGAATATACACACCCTGACTCAACATATACGAGTCCCCTGAGTCAGGGCGTGACATGCTGTCCTGATATCCAGAAGCTCTTTTTGGTTATAAGAGACGATGGCAGAAACATTATGTACAGAATAAATTAGAAATAACGTGAAAAAACACACATAATAGTACAATTGGTTAGAGGGCTGTAAAACGGCAGCCATCTTCTCCGGCGCCATCTCTAGATCCACTCTCCTCTTCCATTTTTGCGGTAATGCTGCAATTATTTGGTTGTAATTTTGGGTAGAGCAGACATTTCCATATCTTTTTGTTAGCTGCATGTGCGACATACCTCCACCAGTCCTACCTATGATATCATTTACGAAGACTATACCTGTTTTTTTTTTTTTTTTTCAAAAAATAATGTTTTTTTAATCAATTAGTATATTTGAGTTTAACCACAATATTTGTTGCATTATTTGTTCTGTAGTTTCTGGAGGATTACATTGAAATTGCAACCAACTTTCTATGGCTTGTTTTAGAACTAGTGATATTTGGGAGATTATTTCCTTTTCAAATAACTGAAAGTGAAAGGTTGTAATCTGAATAAAGGGAAAAAGGCCATTCTTGAACATTGGGTGAGACAATCTTACTAATTTGCTAGAGAACCAGTTCAGATTTAAGTATAACTTTTGTATGACTGAAGCTTTTAGTGATAGGTCTAATGCTTGAATATTTAATAATTTATGACCTCCGAATTCATATTCATTTTATAAATAGGCCCGTTTAATTTTGTCTGGCTTGCCGTTCCAAATAAAATGGAATATTTTTGTCTCATTAATTTAAAGAACTGTTTGCTAGGCGTAGGCAAGACCATAAGCAAATAGGTAAACTGGGATAATACTAAAGAGTTAATCAGGGTGATTTTTCCACAAATTGACAGGTATTTACCTTTACATGGTAGCAAGATCTTATGTATTTTTGCTAACTTTCTATTAAAATGTATTGGAGTGAGATCATTTATTTCATTTGAGATATGTATTCTGAGTATATCCACATCACCATCAGACCATTTTATTGGTAAATTACATGGCAATGTAAAATTTTAATTTTTTAGTGATCCAATACGTAATATGGTACATTTATCATAATTTAGTTGTAATCCAGAGAGGTTAGAAAATGTATCTATGAGACTGTGGAGGGATTCAAGTTGTGGATTTAAAAGGAAACATGTATCATCAGCGTACAATGACACCTTTGTTTTTAAGCCCTGGATTTCTAATCCCTTGATATTATTGTTGGATCTGATTTTAATAGCTAACATTTCGATGGCCATAATAAATAGATATGCCGATAGTGTACAACCTTGTTTTACTCCTCTTAAAAACTCAATACTTTCTGATAATTAACCATTATTTACTATTTTACATCTGGGGTTGCTGTACATAACTAACCCATTGTATAAGAGATTCACCGAAGTAATCCAGGCATTTCTATATAAATTCTAGTCGTACTTTATCAAACGCCTTTTCAAAATCTGCTATGAAGACCAGGCCTGGTATCTTTGATGTTTCATAATGTTCAATTGTTTCAAGTAATTGTCACATATTATCTCCAATATATCGTCCATGTAAAAAACCTGTCTGATCAGGAAGAACAATATCTGGTAAAACCTTTTTTATTCTATGTGCTATGCATTTCGCCAGGATTTTTGCATATCAACATTGAAGTGTAAGAGGCCTCCAGGCCTTCAGTTTTTTTTAAATGGACTAGATCTTTATACTTACCACCTGGGTCCTGTTTTAGTAGTAATGAAATCAGATCTTCTTGTTGAGTACCTGAAAGTCTATCATTTTTATAGGAGTAATTAAAACATGCTAATAATGGATCTTTGAGTACATCAAAAAAGGTGTGATATACCTCTACTGGTATACCATCAAGCCCTGGTGTTTTTTCAGACTGAAAATATTGAATTGCCTCAAAAAGTTGATCTTCTATAAGTTGGCCTTCACACAGGTCTTTCTGTAAATGTGTTAATTTTGCATTATTATTATTGTTATTACTATTAGGAAAGAAATCCTTACAGTTAACATCATTCAGTGGAAATGGAGGAGACTGAAAAGAAAACATATGCTTAAAATGTGGTCCTCTGTAGCTCAGCTGGTAGAGCACGGCGCTTGTAACGCCAAGGTAGTGGGTTCGATCCCCGGGACCACCCATACACAAAAAAATGTATGCACGCATGACTGTAAGTCGCTTTGGATAAAAGCGTCTGCTAAATGGCATATTATTATTAAAATATTTTCCTTTCTCTTTCAAAATATAATTTGATGAATCATGGATGACTCCATCATTTGTAACAAGTTTCTAAATTATTTTTGGTAGCATTTCTATGTTGATAGATGTGCCAAGCTTATAGAGACATAGCCCAAGAGACTTGCAGCTGTAATTGCTACAAAAGGTGGCTCTACAAAGTATTGACTTTGGGAGGGTGAATAGTTATGCACGCTCAAGTTTTCTGTTTTTGTGTGTTATTTCTTGTTTGTTTCACAAGAAAAAATATTTTGCATCTTCAAAGTGTTGTGTAAATCAAATGATACAAACCCCCCAAAAATCAAATTTAATTCCAGGTTGTAAGGCAACAAAATAGGAAGAATGCCAAGGGGGTGAATACTTTCGCAAGCCACTGTAATATACCCGACCTGTACAATTAGGCCATATCATATAAACAATTAAAATTAAAACTTGGTATTTCTAATGTACTACTGTGCAATATTCAAATGAAATAAATAAACAATAAAAAATAAAAAAGGTCAACCTTACCAATCTTCTCCTTTCCCCTAAATCAAAACCTGATTTTAAGTCCATATAGTACAAAGTTCCATATTGCCTAAATAAAAAAAAAACATTTTGCATCAACATAAGTCCAACATTTTAAGTCCACTTCGTCCACGGTTCCATACTGCATGAATATTATTATTATTTTTTTTTTTTAAATAACAAAAAAGAGTCCATCATGCAAAAAAATGTTTTGTAAAAAACAAATTAATCCATAATTGTACTGTTTAATGCGGTGCAAATCTGTATCAGCACTACTTCAGCAGAGGTAGCAACCACTCACAGCCACGTTGTAATCTTCCAGTCCTTGAACATTTGGTTGTTTACATACAATTTATCGACCACTAGACGAACATTCTGCTTCTCTGCTCGGAGCCTTTTGAAAGTGGGGTACAGGGCACGTCGTCTCCACTACTTCATGGGGAAATTGTTCATTAATAGAGAATGGGGTGTTCTTCAGTTCCCTACCCTGTTGTAACAAGGCAATTTTCATTTTGTAGTGAGTTAGCATAGCGACCATCGGACGGGCCTTCCCTCCCCTCTGCCACCGAAACGGTGAGCCCTTTGAAAATCAATTGTATCCACCTGTTCGTCCGTCATTTTGAGATTACGTTTCATGAACACCTTGACTTTTTCCTCCGTTGACTGATAGTTTTTGTTTTCATCCTCCTTTATTCCCATTATAACAATATTCTTCTTCATACTTCTGCACTTTAGATCAAGTCATTTCTACTTTTGTTGTTGTATTATCATACCGTAGCCTCTCTGTAGTGTCTTTTAGGGAGTCCATGGTAGTTTTCAATATCTTATTTTCCGCTAGTATTTCTTCCATCATTTTATTACTGTAATCCATTCCTGTTTTTATGGCCTCAACCTCCCCCAGTAGCCCAGGCAATATATCCAGCTGCTTTAACTGCTTTTTTAAGAAAAACCCTTGAATGAGTAGGCGTTCTAAAACTTTTGACCGGTAGTGTAGTTATGAAAACGTCCCCCTTCAATGTCAAATTTGGAATTTTAGACTTCCCTTCAGTTTCACACGCAGAGCACGAGGAAAGGTCTGGTCTTGTTCGCTTTGATGTATCTGATTCTTTTTCAAGCATATCAAAATGCTGATCAATAAATAATTCAAGGTTCTCTATATTATCCTGAATGTTTGTTACACAGTTATCAGCTAATCCTCAATTTTTATGATTAATTCATGAAACAAGCTGTGCCTACCATGCTGCCACCTGTCACCTGCCACCTGCCACCTGTTTTTTGTAAGGGTACCTTGCTTTAGCTTGGTACGTAGCTAGCACTAACGCAACCAGAATGAAAACAATGACCAGAAACTGCAATCATTTGTAATATTCTTAGCTAAGTATTAGCTAGGCAGCTACTTGCTGTTCTACTTCAGTTCATGAACTAGCTAGCTAGCTAGATAAATAACTAAACAAGCTAGCCAGCTACCTAGCCCTGTTGCCCCAAGTTAATGTTATAAGCATGGCTGGTGTGCCTTGACCGGACCGGGTCCGACCAAATGCGAGAACTGTGTTATTTATTAACTAGGGATATGACACCTAGGTAGATAGTTAGCTAGCTAACTATAGCTACTGAAACAGATTGTCGCTTTGCTATGTTTTGCATCTAACAGCAAGCTATCTTTTTTTCTGAACAGCTCTGTCCCGGCCAGAGCTTAGGAAGTGTGTGTCTGTCTCGTGCTACAGCGGCAGGTGAGCGAGACAACTTTACCCAGCATCATAGCATACGTATCGGTGAATAACTGTGACATATGAAATACGAGTGATAGTGTAATCAATGTGTAATAACTACATAAATTAATGAATGTGTTAAATTATGACGTGCAGTCATATTCAGGTCCTGATTGGTCAACAAGCTTATTTGACGCTTCAAATAGTGTTATTTGACGTGTATATTTTTTGACATGCAAAGACAGAAACGGCATTCCATAGGAGTGGTCTGAGTGGGGAGGGGAAAACTGAAAACTAACTGTTATTGGCAGAGAGGTTTGGGACTCACTTTCTTATTGGTATATTAACTAATTTACTGCCTGGTCACCAGGCAGGCCAAAACTCCATCCCACCAAAACAGATGGCATTTTCAAACAGCTCATACACTAAAAGGGCATTATCATCATTTTCACAATTGTGTGGAAATATATATAAAACTCAGGAACATCAAATTTTTGACTGCACTGGACCTTTAAGCTATTTTCTATCTTTGATCAAAGCTGATCTATCGTGTTTCTCACAGACATGTTTCTCTCTCCTTCTCCATATTTATGAATGGGAAAATGAAGAGGGACAAAAAGAAACAAACTTAGCCATAAATGATTTACTAATTTAGATACTGACTAATAATAATCTAATAATTGTATACTCCAATATAAACTTTTTCTGTAAAAGTTCAAAACATAAACCACATATCATTGCATAACTCTATTGATTAATATAACATTATTGGAACCTGATTCCTTTTAACAAGAAATGACAAAGGGTTGACATTTAAAACTGGAACATTAGATAAATGACATTTGTACCAGTCCACCAATCTGTCAAAGCAGTTTAACTGTAACGTCAGATAATAACTGAAAGTGTTGGGCAGTGCAGTGAGAGATACATTTCTGTCCAGCACTCAATTGAAAAATATGTATCAGTCTCAATGTGACTTCCCTGGTTAAATAAAAAATAATGGACTGGTTAAATGAAGGAGGGGGACTTCCCTGGTTAAATGAAGGAGGGGGACTTCCCTGGTTAAATAAAGGATGGGGACTTCCCTGGTTAAATAAAGGATGGGGACTTCCCTGGTTAAATCAAGGAATGGGGACTTCCCTGGTTAAATCAAGGAATGGGGACTTCCCTGGTTAAATCAAGGAATGGGGACTTCCCTGGTTAAATCAATGAATGGGGACTTCCCTGGTTAAATCAAGGAATGGGGATTTCCCTGGTTAAATAAAGGATGAATTACTACTCACAGAAGCATTGGGCCACTGACAGTGCCAGAAAACATCCTTTCATCCATCCTGGTCAGACGCTTGTTTCTATGGAGGTACCTGGAGAGAGAACACACACATGCGCACCCACGCACACAAACACACGAGCAAGAATGTAACCAACACACTTCAATCACTGTAATCATCCTGATAGCTCAAAAACACCTTATAATAATTTCTGTAGCCTCAGCACATCAGGTTTCACTGTTTACTTTCACCGCTTTCTGGAGCAACTCTGCCTTCGGATGGATCAGATCTTATCCTGAGTGTTGTTTTAAATTAGCTGTACCACCATCAGAGAAGGTACTTCAGAAACATACTGTAGAATCCCTACATGATAATAAACGTGTGGGGGGAGTGTTTGTCTTAGTGTTACAGACCCAGGGATCAGTTCTCACTCTGAGAAAACACACACCGACACACACACCGACACACACGTAGACACACACACACACACACACACACACAGACACCTACACACACACCGGCACACAAACGCACGCACGCACACACACACACTCCGGGATCAGTTCTCTCTCTGAGCGCGCTCCTGCCAACACAAACAGCAGTGTGGTAAGAATGACTAAGGTGAATACCCATTAGTTTAATTACAACTCCATAAGGACCAGCTAGGGTTGACTGGGGGTAAATTGTTAAATGGAGGTATGGTGGGATGAGAGGGTCAGAGACATATTCATGTTTCATATCCTGACTGGAAACGGGACAGAGAGGTGACCAAAAGGAGGAGGGGAGTTTAAGGGACAACAGTCTTGAAATTGTAACACATTAAATCAGTACTTGGTTTATCCCAATTTCTATGGGATTTCCGCATTTAATGAGAAGTGCTCTACAAATCAAATGTTTTATTATTAAAACTTCATTCAATGCAAATCCAGGTCAGTCTCCAGTAAGATGAAATCTAAATTTAAAAATGAGACACTACATAATGTTTTTTCTCCCTTGGTAAATACTAGTCTGAGTACCAGTCTCTTTAGCTAACATTCCACTCCTTAGCTAGGCAAGTTGTTGTAAGACGTTTTGTGGTTGGAATTGCAGAATGTATTTAGTTTGAGAATTGTAAGCTAGTGACTTTTAACATACTGGTTTCCTCTGGACAAACAAAAAAACGGTTGATTAGCAACTGGATACCAACGTGTTCTGTGGAGAGAAAAAAAGTGATAAGAGTTCCAATATTTGCATAATCGTTGTGCTTGGAGGACTGCTGTGAGGGTGATCGAATCAGGATCATATCCTCTGTTCTCCTCGAGCTCATTAATGATAGAATGTTAACATTTGAAGACGGCAGAAAGCCCAGTCTCTTTGGCACGTGACATGGAGTACAGGGAGTGGATTATCTAAAGCACGTATGTCAAACTCATTCCACGGAGGGCAGAGTGTCTGCGGGTTTGGCACCCCTGATCTAAAGACACTGGTACCCAGGCTAGGGAAATAAAGGTCCTTTGATGCTTCGATGCTGACTTCCTGAAATCACCTTCCTAAAATATCCTGTTTATCCCATGAGCACTAGGGCCTCCTAATCAAGGCTGGGGTTAATCTCTCTCTAAGCACGTCTGAGAGAACTAGTTCAGATGTAGCCGTGATCCCTCTGCTTGTGTAGTGTAATAGTGTAATTTCGAGTAAGGAAATATACATGCCAGATGTCAAAAAATGGTTTACTCAAGTCAAAATATTAAGTTAAATAAATTTTGCGAAAATGCAGTCAGTCTGATTGTTAAGCCTGAGTGAAAGATACCCTGACTATAACAACAAGACTACCGAACCTCCAGTACTCTGAATTAAAAGACTCTCTCCCCTCCACTAAGGAAGTCCAAACCTTAGTGGGTCAGCACCGAGTCAGGCAGAGACCTGGATGTGGCTAAAAATAGACTATTTATATTCTATTATATTCCATTCCATTCCCTATTCTGTACTCTGAGTTGATATTCACGTAATAATAAGGACTTTCCCTCCACCACACCCACAATTTGGGGAAAACAAAAAATCTTTCCTATTGACCCCCATTGCAGAAGAGCCAACTTCGTTGTGGATTTTTTTGTTATATAGAGATAACAAAACATGCCAAAAAGCTGCTGTGTTGTTCAATGGACAGGTAACCAGGTCAACAATCCCGACCTACGGTTCCCAATGCTCCCACGTAGGGAAATAGAGCCTGCGGGAAGAGCCCTGATATTCGACGTGGGAGAGTGGGAAATGTGGGGGACCCGGATGTCCAAGTAGGCTACACGTAGTTCTGTGTGTGGAAAACATTTAATCACAGGTAAGACATTTAACTTGTTTAGTATAGTGCATTTGTAACTCCACTCACTACTTGTAGCTGTATAGTCCATTTGTTTGTGTTGTTGGTCTTTGCTAGCTTAATGTTCTGGTCGGTAGCTAGCTAGCACTCATTCACTCAAGTGGCTGCTAGCACCGTCGTGAAAAGGGGCATGAGGGAAGAGCTACGATACTAAGTTTTTCTAAGTAGTGAGAATGCTAGGGAGCAGGCAATGTTGAAAAATAACCTTTCTACATGTTGTACTTTTCTTAAATGTCGTTTTGAAATTGACTAAAACAAGCAGACAACAAGAAAACTGCATTTGAAAAAGGTCAAGTATTTGCTGTGAGCAAATGGGGTAACCTAGGTAACCACAGGTTGTTTTCCCCACAGTCGGGCAGGGCCGCGACATTCTATCTAATACCGACTGGAACTATTCTATTCTATTCCATTCTATTCTACTGTGTTAATGATATAAGCAAATTGACTTACACAGCATCCAGTTTGGTCCCGTTGAAAGCAT